ACTTCATTTTTCTGTTGTTTCGCGAGGTTCTGAGCGTGTCCCAAAATGCCAAAGCCTGTGATATCTGTGGCTGCGTGGGCATTGAACGTGTGCATCAACCCAGCAGCAGTTCTGTTTAGAGTAGCCATGTTGAACATAGCTTCCTGATAGGCCAACTCGACTTCCTCTCTGGAAACCACCATCTTGATCTTATTCCACTTCTCGGGGTTGTCCAGCCACTGGTGGGCATTGGCGGCCACCTGGGTTCCCAAAGGCTTGGTCAGCACCAGCACGTCTCCCACCACCGCACTATCGGGCATGATGAACTCATTCTGCTGACACACCACGGTGGCCACCCCGCCGATGATAATCCAGGGGTTGATCACCGTCTGCCCCCCCGTCACTGCAGTGCCCCCCTCCTCGGCAGCATCGCGGAAGCCTTTGATCATGAGCGGCGTCACCTTCTCTCGTTCCTTCTCGCTCATGCTCTGGCTGACACTGAGCAGCATCAGCATGTTGTCGCACTCGGTGATGCCCATGGCGTAGAGGTCACTGAGCACGTTGGCACAGGCTATGCGCCCCATCATGTAGGGATCTTCCACCAAGGGGTAGAAGAAGTCGGTGGTCTGCACCAGCGACAGGCCGCCGTGCCTCAGGGGGATGACGCACGAGTCCAAGCCAATGCTCAGCGAGGGGAGGGCCGAGCTGGGGCCCGGCCTGGCGGCCAGGCCCCCTTCCTGCACCGTCTCTTCCGGACCCCCGACCAGACCCGAGGCGAGCGGGGGCTGCAGCACGGGCCGCGTCAGTCCCTCCAGGAGTTTGAGCAGAGTCTCCTGGGGGACCTTGCAGCCTCAGCCCTTCATGCCAGAGAAGCTCGTCAGCCGCCAGCTCGGGCTGAAGCCCAGCGTCTGGGGCTCGAACGGCCGGTAGTTGGAGAAACTCCGGCCCGCCGGGCCGAAGGAACCTTCCGCCGCCACCAGCGCCGCCATGGCCTCTCCGCTGGCGCCTGCCGCCGCTTCCGCCATCGTGCCGCCTGCCGGGGAGGCCGGGCGGACCAGAGGCCCCGGTACCTGCAGGCGAGCCCGCTTGCCACAGCAGGCAGAGGTTCCCGGAGGAGACGGGGTAACACACGTGTCGGAGCGGAGGACGCCAGCCACGCTGCCCGGCCGAGCGCCGCGCGGCCTCTATTTATATACGGCGTGATTGACAGCCGCACCACCCAATGACGGCTCCGGAACCGAGAGGCGGGCTTCCTTTACTCGGAAAGGTAAATTACAAATTAACCGTCTGCTTTCATAACCGGTCCCCGCGAGAGGTCGTCACGTGAGCCTTTTGTAACTGGCCTGGAACGCGCGTCTCTACGTAGACCAGGGTGGCCTCGAACTCGCGTCGATCCGTCTGCCTCAGTTTCCCAAGGGCTGGTATTCCAGTCCCCTTACGTATGTGAACCTAGTCTTGGAAGTGGCTGGCGCAAGTTTGTTGCTTTGGAGTGGCTTTACCAAAGGCTAGCTTACTTGCAGAAGGAAATCTGACCCTTGGCTATCCCCATGAAGGTCAGAGTAGTGCTAGCGTCATTTGACAGGGCACAAGGCCAATCTAGGGTAAGAAAACACTTTAGGGGAAGAAAAGGGACAGCACAAAGTAAATGCCATCATTACGTAAGCAAATTGCAACATCGGTGTTGTGAAATTTCACACGGACTGCACAGGTTTGGGTACTGACTGTTTTGGCCATTAGTTGCCAGTGATGAGTTGCTGTCCTCTTGCAAGTTAATTTACTAATGCAACGGAATAGCTTACCTGTGCTAAGATGTCCATATTGCTTCAAGTTAATGTATATGAGAATTCATGATAGATTCAGGAAGGAAACCAATAACTACTAAAATTGTAAATGCTAGACCCAGAGCAGTGGCTTCATGCCTCTAATCCCAGCGTTTGGGAGACAGAGATAGGAGAATCGCTGTGAATTCCAGTCCATCCTGGACTTCAGATGGAAACCCTAAAAGGAATAAATGAATAAATTAAACACTGTCACTGGGTGTAGAGACATAACCTGTAATCCCAGCACTTGGAAAGCTGAAGTAGAAGATGATGACGGTCCAGGCCAGCCTGGGCTACACAGTGAGACCTTGTCTCAAACACACACACACACCCCCAAAATAGGAGCTGGAGAGATGGGTCAGTGTTTAAGAGCATTTGCTAGTCTTGCAGAGGACCTAAGTTTGGTTCTCATCACCCACATGGTAGCTACCTAACAGACACCTGTAATTCCAGTTTCCAGGGGATCTGATCTGTTCTGGCTATGGAGAACACCAGGAACACATATAGTGCACAGTCATATGCAGGCAAAACACTCCTACATATAAATAGAAATAAATAAATCTTTTATTGTTGTATTTGATGATGTGTGGGGTGTCCAAGGACAACTTTGTGTAATTGGTTCTCTTCTTCCACTTTTAATAAATTCATGGAATCTAACTGAAGCTGTCAAGATTTTCACAGCAACCAGGCAGTGGTGGCACACGCCTTTAATCCCAGCACTTGAGAGGCAGAGGCAGGTGGATCTCTGTGAGTTCGAGGCCTGGGCTACAGAGTGAGATCTAGGAAAGGCGCAAAGCTACACAGAGAAACCCGGTCTCGAAAAACCAAAAAAAAAAAAAAAAAAAAGAACGTGAGGTGTGGGGGGCTGGACAGATGGCTCAGTTAGTACAAGGGTGTTTGCTGTTCTTTCAGAGGACACAGATTTATTTCTCAGCTCCCACTTGGTACCTCAAATGTCCCTATAACTCTAGCTCCAGGGGATCTAAGACCCTCCTCTGGCTTCAGGAGGGTCTTAGACACTCACACATACACAAAGATAATGAAACAATTTCTCTGTGTAGCCCTGGCTGTCTTGGAACTCACTCTGTGGACCAGGCTGGCCTCGAACTCACAGAGATCCACCTGCCTCTGCCTCCTGAGTGCTGGGATTAAAGATATGCGCCACCACTGCCTGGTTTAAAAAAAAAAAAAAAGGTGTTTTTTTGTTTGTTTGTTTTGTTTTTGTTTTTCGAGACAGGGTTTCTCTGCGTAGCTTTGCGCCTTTCCTGGAGCTCACTTGGTAGCCCAGGCTGGCCTCGAACTCACAGAGATCCACCTGGCTCTGCCTCCCGAGTGCTGGGATTAAAGGCGTGCGCCACCACCGCCCGGCTAAAAAAAAAAGGTATTTTTAAAAAGAAAGAATATGAGGTACAGATGTGTCCTACTCAAGGTCACCTTTAGATCAGAGTGGAACAGAATTAGAATCTAGAGGTCTGCTTCAGAGTATACTCATTGGGCCTGCCTGAGACACTTGTTGAGAGAAGCCAGTGAACTTCAGAAGGACATATAGATGATATTGTGGATTTGAGATCGTGAAATTTTTCATTTTCTTTTGTCTTTTTTTTTGAGACATGGTCTCAATGTGTAGCCCAGGCTGACCTTGAACTCACAGAGACCCACCTACTTCTGCCTCCTGGATTCTGGGAGTAAAAGGTGTGCACAACTACACCTTGCTTTCAGCTTTTTAAGAAATAGACTGATTCTTGTTTGTGTGTAGGAGTGTTTTGCCCACATGTGTGTAAGTGGACCTGGAGTGACAGTTGCCATAGAGATACTGGCATCTGAACCTGGGTCCTCTGGAAGAGCAGGCAGCATTCTTAAATCTCCAAATCTCTCTCCAGTCCTCAACTTTTTAAAAAGAGGAAAATTTGGGCCAAAAAGAAAGCTCAAGAGTAAAGGTACTGGCCACCAAGCCTGAGGACTTGAGTTTGATCCCCAGGACAGAAGCAGTGGAAGGAGAGAATTACTTCCACGGGGGTCCACACATGCATATAAACTCACACCCACGTACATGGACGCACACCTACATATAAACACTTATACACATGCACACATTGTGGAATATCACTTTAACTAGGCAAAATGTAGGTGAAGAGAAACAGGTTAAATTAAGTTATAAGAGCTACCAAGAAATGAGTCTAAGCTAAGGCCATGCATTCATAGCAAATAATAAGTCTCCATGTCATGGTTTTGGAGCTGGTGTGTGGCCCAAGAGAAAGCTTGTTTTATATACACACACTCACTAAGTAAAAAGGAATTTAGAAAAGTAAAGTATATATTTTAGAATTTATTTATTTATTTTATTTCTTTTTAAAAATTTTTTATTTTTTAATTGCACTCATGATATTAATTACATTTGTGATATTCATGGATTATATTCACAATATTCATTCAACAACTATATTTATGATATTCATTAATTACATTAATTTTATTGATTTCTTACATTCATGATATTATGTCCTGATACTACTGTCCATTTGTGGGGCTTTTCCATCACACAAAACAGAAATCACTGCTCTATATTCCTTTCTTCTCCATCTTGAGATAATGTCTAATCTTTCTTTCTCTATGAATTTGTATATTCTATATATTTCATGTAATACAATTCTATAGTATTTGTTCTTTTTTTAAATGTAAAAACATTTTATGTACAACTGCAGGAGAAATAATACACAGCTTGAACATAAAAAACAGGTTATAATTCAAAAGTCCAGGGTTATTTGAAACACACACACACACACACAAAGTAAAATGTAATTTAGAAAAGTAAAGTATATATTTTAGAATTTATAAAAACAGAAAAAAAATGGTATAGTGGTCAAACAATAGACATGGAAGCAAAAACCTCTGGATTTTTTTAGGGTTTTCTTAAGACATTAATTACACATAACAACGTATTTCAAAGGACAGTTCTTGAATGTATAGTGTATTTTGGTCATACTTAGGCCCATAGCCCTTCCCACCCCCTCCACTCTGCTGACCCCTGCTTGCTCCCCAGCTAGATCTCCTGCACCCTCCTGTCATTGGTCTTTAAGGCCCTGGGGCCAGCCTGCCAGTGAGCATGCCCTCCCACCTTTACACTCAAGGCAATCAAGCTGTGACCTTGGGGAAATGATAGACCATCCCTGCCCCTCCTTGCCACATCAGTAAATTGGGGATCATAGTTCCTGTTTGGGAGGTAGCATGATTGCAAGATGAGAGAGTCACATGTGAAGGCCTTTGGCTTCTGAGCATAGGGCACCCTTGAAGGAGTCTCCTATCTCAAAGGGAAAAACCCCAACGGCTGTGTTCAATCTGTCAGCACCTGGGAAGTTAAACAGTGACGAGACCAGGTGGACCTGCTGTTTGCTTGTTCTTTGGACTTTGCCGTCTCAATTAAAAATTGTAATTCTGTAGTTGAAGCAGGGTCTCACTATGCAGGCCAGGCTCGTCTCTAAGTTGAGGCTGACCTCCTGCCTCTGGTTTAGAGTTCTTTGTTCCTGCAGGATGTCAGGTTGTCTGACTGCCACGCCGTGTGTAAACTGCACAGGGCAGGGCTGCTCTTTCTCCCCTCTCGTCCTAGCACTGCGCGTGGACCAGCATTGCCCCGTGAGTAAATCCTCCCGTACAGTTATCTGTCCAGTTTGCTAAGCACAAATGAAGAGGCAAACATTTTCCCGTGTATTCATCTTCTCATTTAGTATTTACAGCAGCCCGCTGGGTGTGGGGACACACACCTGTAATCACAGCACTTGGGAGGTAGAGGCAGAGGAGTTCAAGGCTAGACTTAGCTACATATCAAGAGAGCTCAGAGTAAAAAAAAAAAAAAAAAAGTCTTCCCAGCAGCCCCTGGAAAGGGCATTGCTTTCTTTAACTAGTTCTTGTTTGTTTTAGAGAGGCCTTTTGTATTCCGGACAAGCACTCTTATCAACTGAGCTACATCTCCAGTGCCTCTACTTTTTATTCTTATCTATCTATCTATCTATCTATCTATCTATCTATCTATCTATCTATCTATCTATCTATCTATCTATTTTGGTTTTTCAGGACAGGGTTTCACTGTGTATCCTGGCTGTCCTGGAACTCACTCTGTAGACCAGACTGTCCTCAAAATAGAGACCCACCTGCCTTTGCTTCCTGAGTCCTGGGATTAAAGGGATGTACCACCACTGCCTGGCTCTACGTTTTTTAATAAGATAGGTTCTTATGTAGCCCAAGCTTACATTAAGCCTGCAATCATTATGGCCAGATATTTTGCTTTATGTTTAATTTATTTATGTATTGTGTGTGTGTGTGTGTGGGGTGCTGTGTGTATATATGTGTGTGTGTGGAATGTTGTATATGTATGTGTGTGGTTGTGTGGTGTGTGTGTGGTTGTGTGGTGTGTATATGTGTCTCTCTGTGTGTATGTGTGTGTTCCAGCACTGTGTGGAGGTAAGTGGTCTTTGCAGGAGCTCTCAAGAAGACCCTATATCTACTGAGCCATCTCTCAGTTCCCTGTTTTGTTGGAGAATGGTCCCACTCTGTAACCCACCCTGTCCTGAACTCACGGTGTAGCTCAGGCTGTCTTTGAACTCAGCGTGATCCTTTCACTTCGGCCTTCAGAGTCCTGGCTTCTAGGCATGTACCGCTGTACCTGCCTCTGCTTCCACTTTGCAGAAGATAAAAACTGAGGGCCCTGAAGGTACACAGTGTTGTACGGTATCATCTCTTGTGGGGTGGTCACCAGAGAAGACTGCTCAGACGTGGGTTTAAGCCAATAGAATGTCTTTATTAGCCCCAAAGTGAGTGAGTACACGGGATGTTCAGGATTCCACTGCAGCCCAGAGCCTTTCTACGGGTGAACTTTTAAGCATAAAACAAAACAAAACAAAAAAAAAATGTCCTGGGTTGACATACTTCAGTTAACAAGAACAGTTAGTCAGAAGCAGAACTACAGAAGCCAAAAGGCAAGGTTAGACCATTTAGAGACTTTCCCAGAACTGTGGACTTTGATGGATTAGGCCTTTGTTTTAGTTTTGATAGGTTGTATTGTCTACATGCTGAGTTTTACAGCCTGAATAGCACTTCCATCATGGAGTCTATTGTGCTAAGGTCTGGAGTGTACACGAATTTCTAAATGGTCTTATTAAATAAAAATCATGGATCCAAATATAGGAGTGAAAGCCTTAGATCAGGGAAATAGTGAGAGCCACCAGCCAACCTACCTCACCAACTCTGCAGCTTCCAAATGGCACAACTTCCTGTCTACCCAGGCCTTTATTGCCTTTCTGTTCTGCCCTCTCATTGGCTCTCTTAGGCCAGCTACCTCACTTCCTCTTCCTACACAGCTCTGTCACTTTCTGTCTGCACAAACCTCCAGGTCTCTATAGTTGGTGCTGGGATTAAAGGTGTGTGTTACCACGCATGACTCTGTTCCCTAGTGTGGCCTTAAACAGAGACCCTGCCTGCTAAGTGATAGGATTAAGGGCATGTGCTACCATTACCTGACTTTTGTGTTTACTTAAAATGGCTTGCTATTTCCTCTGATCTCCAGGCAAACTTTATTATTAACGTACAAATAAAATATCATCACATTTCAGCACAAATAAAATATCACCACACTGGGGCCCTGTTACACATCATCTGGGAAGCAACATAGTAAGGATGCAAACCCAGGCCTGGCCTGGCAGACCTGAGG